TTAATCATGGTTGCATAATAAACACAGTATCATTGTGTCACCTAAACAATTAAATGCTCGCTTTAAGCAACTCTCCAGAAGATCAAAGCATAGAAAAAAATCTTGAGGTGTTTGACTGATGGACGCTCACCGCCCATGCTTAAGGGTTTCCTTACATTGTAGCCTACTCTGACCTTTACCCAGAGTATGAAAAGTGACACTGTATATGACTTACTGAGCGCAGTCCCAGAACACACCTGAGTAACCCTTTACTTCCAACAGCAATATATTAAAAAATACAACACAGGAAGTTGAATTGATGATTGCACAATGCTTAAAGTAAATGTAATCCAAATCATTACAATTTCCCAAGCTTTATGTGACCCTGTCGCATAGACTTTTCATGAAGGCTACAAGTGGTCATTTCAACTCGCATTGCACAGGCATGTTCCTCTGTTGTCACCATCAGGAAACCCATTGTGATAAATGACATGTAGCAATTGCTGGTGTGCATACAATTATACAGGAAGTGGCTAAAAAGAGCGCCATACAGATCAGCAACACTGAGATGCAACACAGAATGAAAAAAAACGAGGAAACAAATACTTAAACATTGGCTTACGAAACAAAGGGGTTCATTTATAAAAGTTTCACCCAGCGTATACCATTCACACAGCACTAGCGAGTATAGGAATTTCTGCTCGTCAACACCATCTAGGGGCACTAGTGCCATGCGAACAGCATTAAACTTTTAATAAATTAACTTCTATATGTTATTCACTTAGGGATTACATCTACTTTAAACACATTGGTGAGATCTTTTGTGCAGTAGCTCTAGATAATACCCCACCTGAGCATCCTCTTATCTTCTGTGTAGCATCTCTCTATCTTGGGGATTACAAGTGTCAGCCACTGCATTAGTCCAAAGAGACAGAAACTACAACTATTAAAAAAAATAAAAAAAAGTGATGTATTGTGCTGCTCAGTAAAATGTCACCTCTAGAAGTACGCTGTCACAAAGCAAAGCACCTTTTAGAAAAGCCTCAGACACCATCTACTTTTTTCAGAATCCTGCACTAATCATAGGGCATCACATTTGCTTAAAAGGTTTGGCTTCTTTGCCCCAGAACTTTAAGAAGGGGAGCTTCTGTTGGAGGCATTTTATACAGGTAAAAAAACAAAACAAATCAAACATTTTTCCCATGATATTGGCTCTATAAATTAATAAAGTGCCCTAGGCATTTTGAAACAAATTTCAAGCCAAGTATGATCTAGCATTAGAGCTGCAGCTAACGATTATTTTCAAAATCGATTAGTTAGCCGATTATTAAGTTCGATTAATCGGTTAATCGGATAAACAATACAATACATTTTTAAAAATGGCTCCAGTGATGGAGTACTAGTTTGTATTAAGATTGTAGTCCATAACAGGAGCAAGCTTGGAGCGGTGAAAGTAAAAAAAATAGTGTGGTGTGCAATATAGTGAAATGGAAAGTGTAAAATTATACAGCAATGAATGCAGACTGGCACCGGCTATAGAGGACTACAAATCCCAGCAATAATACATTATACAGCGCAATGCCGAATATCACCAGCTATAGAGGACTATAACAAATCCAAGCAATAGTACATTATAACTGGTGGTATTCTGCATTGCGCTGTATAATGTAGTATTGCTGGGTTTTGTAGTCCTCTATACAGCGCAGTGCAGAATATCACCAACTATAAAGGAGTACAACAAATCCCAGCAATACATTATACATACAGTGTGTAATGTATTGCTGGGATTTGTATTCCTATGTATAATATACAGCACAATGTACCATCAGCTAAAGAGGAATACAAATCCCAGCAATACATAAGGCCCCATTCACATGTAGCAACATATCTTTGCAGCGGCCGGGATAGCGCGACTTTCCGGGCGACATTCCAGTGACGGTAGCGCGACCTTCTCCGTCGGGCTCAATAGAAAAAAAGCAAAATCCGCCGAAAAAAGGGTCCGGTAGAAGCGACTTGCGACCGCGACGAGCAACATGGTGCTAAGACAGCTCCATTGACTATCATTAGCCGGCGACTTCTCGCGATATCGCGCGGCAAAAATGCGATAAGTCGCTACATGTGAACAGGGCTTTCTAGAGCACCATGTGGGGGGGGGGTTAGGCTTACCTGAGGGACCTGTCTATCGGCGGCTGTCATCCCCCCACACCTGCTCCTCCTTACTACATCTCCCCGCGTCCCTGTGCCGATCGTGGATGTGGGCGGGCGGTGAGTGTGAGGCGGGAAGGAGGTGCGGCGTGTAGAGCGTGGATGCGGGCGGGTCTGGCAGCGGTGCGCAGCGTTTGTGGAGCCGTGAACAGGGCCAACTGTTTGGAAGCCGATTAATTGATTATTGAAAAAGTTGAATCAACTTTTTCAATCGATTATAATCGATTATGTCGATTAGTTGTTGCAGCCCTATCTAGCATCTCTCATAGCACCCCAGGTTTCAATTTAGGTAAGATGGTATTGACTATGGCTTTAATATTGGGGAGATTTCTTCCACCCTCTCCTGAGATCATGGGCCTGTATTTATAGTTGAACATGTTGACAGGTCATAAATAAACCTACAAGTTAAGAGATGAAGACACGGATTTAGAGAATACTCCTCGCACCTCTCCCTCTGTCTGGCAGGCACGTGCTCTATAATGTGGCAGGTAAATAATTGATAAAGCTTCCGCACTGTACGCTGTGCCATAACAGCAATGTGGAAAGAAGACAGTGACTTGCTCTTACCTGTCTAGCAAATTTTATTTCTGTCTAGACCAAGAATGAAGAAGAAGAAATCTCTTGCGTACACATTGTACGCCATTCTCTTGTTAGGTTGTCATATGTTTTTATACCATTACACCATTACACCAGTCTGTTACATGTACTTGGATAACTGCTTACTAGCTTGAAACACTGTATGCGGATTCAGATTTCATGGACTTTATAATGAACCTGGCACAACTGGAAAAAAATCTTGAAATGGACTCTGAAATGGACACTGTTATAAGAGACTAATGGTGACTGCCATTACTGTACTCTCCATTGAGTATTCTAATTCCCTGGCTGTTCTGATTCCTTAACCTGTAATGCGGTCTGAGTCCCTGACTCCAGAACCAGTATAGAGATGAGTAGTTTTGACACTTTTCTGACACTCATTTACAACATGCTTATTCTGGACTGTGATTGAAACATACCAAAGTCAGACACAGTCGGGCATCAAGAATTTTTAGAAAGAGGTCTGAAATGGCAGCCAAATACGTCTGTAATGACATAGTCACTTTAATCGTGCAGGCTTAGCTGTCAGAGATGTATATCTGACCTCTTATATACAGTTACTTACTCTGTGTTTGAAGGTGACTGATAGGATAGGAGTTTTGGGTAAATGGTCAGAGAATTACTGTTCTGCCAGCTGTCTGAAATTGTGATGTTAATAGGAGCTGGCTCCTATATGTGCCGTACATTAGCACATAACAGAGTTCAGTAGTTAGTGTATGTAAACCCTAACAATGAACTGCTCTTAGTTGCTCCATTTTGGTCAATAAAATATATAATTAAAGCAGAACTCTTGGTAAAAATTTACTTTTCCCTTACAGTGGGGTTACCCCCGCATTACAAGGGGTTAAGTGCTTGTTTTTGGCTAGGGTCAAATATAAAAAAAAAAGTTATGCTCACCCGAGCCTGCTTGCTCTTAAACCGATCCTTCCAGCCTTGCTCCCCCTACGCTGCAGCAGTCCAAGGTCCCAGGATCATGATATTCTATACACAGTGTATAGGACGTGAGGATGCTGAGGGACATACCATCTATTTTTAAAAATAGATTTTTTTAAATAATTATTTGCAAAATATGTGTTACCCTTCTGATGGACCAAGGATTTGAAGGAAAGTGTAAGCTAGCTATACACTGGTCAAATTTTGGCCTGCCGA